GTGGTTTTCTGAATCCATATCACCACTCTCTGAAACTGATGACGTAGTACGCAAAAACATGACGTTATTTTTCTTGCGCGTTAAAAAGTCCCTTGTTATTATGCTTTGTTTTATGGATAAATATTATACAATTGATCTCTAAAGTTTTATTCTGCTATATTTAGCTAGTTATAAAGAGGTATATAATAAATTTATCATTATTACAGTAACTTGATCCGAAGAGCCGTATCACGTCTCGTTGACAGGCGCGGATCATCAGATCAACCTCGACGCTGCGCGTCTCGTTAGATCTGATGATCCGCGCCTGTCAACTCGACGTGATACGACCCTTCGGATCAAGTTACTGTTATAATAATATATATATCTCAACTTCTTCCTTGTTTTTAGGAGATAGTTGGAAATCTAGTCACCCACTTTGGTAGTGGATTTGAAGGAGAGACAGATTCTTCCCTAGATATACTGTACCAGCTAGTGGATAAACACCTGGACAAAATGGCACCTTTTGCAATCTTTGTTAAGGTGACATTGAAACTTTGATAGACATTTGCTTCTCTTTTTGAAAAAATGAACATAACTGTCTAAACTTGTATTTCCAAATAGAGAATGATCTATCATTTTCAGATACCTGTAAGTGATAAATGCATATTAAGTGTTCATGTGTATATATGTAAAAATTTATCAATGTAGAAAATTTCAGATAAAAAATTAGAAGGGAAATTTTTTCCCCTTAGAAATCCTTTATCCCCTTTAAATTTTATGATGGGCCATGCACATTGAGGCTTTCTTCACTGTCTTCTTTTGTTAGGTTGTTCTGGACTACCTTGATAATCTAAGTGTCCTCCAGATAAGGAAACTGTACTCACTCCTCAGCACACTGGCATTCAGAAGTACCCAGGGAGGAAACATGATTCAGGTACAGTCAACTTAACTGTAAAGCAAAAGGGTCTAGATCATGAAATTAATTAATTTAAATTGATTAAAAAACACACATTCACAAGAAATTCAAATTATTATCCCAACAAAATTTAAATCCTTAAAAGAAATATTAAATTAGTACCTTTCCAGAAGAGAGAGGTATTCATATTTCAGCTAATTGCTTTTTAGCTCACCTGAGCCGAAGGCTCAAGTGAGCTTTTCTGATCAAAATTTGTCCGTTTGTGTCGTCGTCATTGTCGTCGTTGTCGTTGTTGTCGTTAACTTTTCACATTTTCATCTTCTTCTCAAGAACCACTGGGCCAATTTCAACCAAACTTGCTACAAAGTATCCTTGGGTAAAGGGGATTCAAATTTGTTCAAATGAAGGGCCATGCCCTTTTTCAAGGGGAGATAATTATGAATTAGAGAAAAATTGATGGTATTTTTAAAAAATCCTCTTCTCAAGAACCACTGGGCCAGGAAGGATGAAACTCATGTGGAATCATCCTCAGGTAGTGTAGATTCAAATTTTTTCAAATCATGAACCCCTGGGGCTAGGGTGGGGCCACAATGGCCAACCAAGTTTTACATAAGAATATATAGGAAAAATCTTTAAAAATCTTCTTCTCAAGAACCACTGGGCCAGGAAGGATGAAACTCATGTGGAATCATCCTCAGGTAGTGTAGATTCAAGTTTGATCAAATCATGACCCCCGGGGCTAGGGTGGGGCCACAATGGCCGACCAAAGTTTTACATAAGAATATATAGGAAAAACCTTTAAAAATCTTCTTCTCAAGAACCACTGGGCCAGGAAGGCTGAAACTCATGTGGAGTCATCCTCAGGTAGTGTAGATTCAAGTTTGTTCAAATCATGACCCCCGGGGCTAGGGTGGGGCCACAATGGCCGACCAAAGTTTTACATAGGGTTATACATATAGGGAAACCTTTTAAAATCTTCTTTTCAAGTACTTCGAAGCCATGATTAGTGATATTTATATGGATAGTGTAGATTCAAGTTTGTTCAAACCATGACCCCCTTGGGTGTTAAAATTCAAGCCCCCCTCTCAGTTAACTTTCAGTTCTGATCTGATATGTGCTTTTTCCTAGCCAATGTGCTAAGGTGAGCACTGTGGCCCCTGGGCCTCTTGTTTTTACTTGGAAGTTATTAGAGAAAATGACTTTGTAAATTTATAATAATGTCTGTTTTTCATTTCTAGGATGATCTTCACATCATAATAAGGAAGCAGCTGTCCAATGATAATCCAAAGTAAGTGTAACTCCATCTTACAATATTTACATTCCGTGTATTTTTCCTTAGGAAATTCATTAGAAATCCACGACATTCAAATTTCTATAACACACGTGAAACTTTTTCACCGCGCATTAGAATACATAGTAGGAACTATATGCATTTTCTATAATCTAGGAACACCAAAATGTACAATGATTTGACTCAATTTAATTAAAAACTATAATCCTGTTAAATTAACATAAAAATAATACAAATGTGCATTTACAATTAATTTGTCACTTTTTTTCCTCGCAATGTTTGTTTGCGTTATTTAACTTTGCAAAGTCATCTGACATCACAAACGGCTCTTCCGTCTATTAACCACGTTAGTTTTGAAGGGCGCTAAATTCACATTAAATATTAACGAAATAAGCAATTATGAAGAAGGAAAATTAGAGAATGTAAATATAAGCATTGAATTAATATTTTTAGCTGTCTTCGGTCCTATAACACACCTGGCCATGCCAACAAATTTATCATACTGCGCTAACGTGCGGTATTCAATTTGTCGGCACGGCCAGGTGTGTTATAGGACCGAAGACAGCCAAAAATATGAATTCAATGCTTAAATAATCCAAAATAAGAATGGTAACTCTGTCTTACAATAATCCAAAGTAAGTGCAACTCCATCTTACAATAATCCTAGTCCGAAAAATCTGACGTTTATCTGGCTTTTTTACGCGATTTTGATATTTTACATGCCAGGAAAATGTCAGAACTGACACCATTACGAAAACTGGGAAATCGCCGCCTCGAACCGGAGGCGGCATTCAGAGGTTGATTTTCGATACTTGTAAACCAAATTAAATGCTGAATTCACATTTTATCAATAGTACAATACCTTAAGTACTCACCAACATCATTTTTATGGTTCATTTATGAAATAATATAATACAATGAAAACATTTTATCTGACTGTTGAGATTTGTTTTCATTTCGTGCATTTTAAAATCGTGCAAGTTCTGAATCGGAATGTGGAGTGGTAATTTCTATTCATCGATATTGGTGAGTTCTAGGAGCATTGTGCCATTGATAAATTGTGATTTCGGCATCTAATTCGGTTCCCAAGTTCAGAAAATTAACTTCGGGTAGAGACGGTAAAATTCTTGGTTTTCGTAATGGCGCCGGTTCTGACGTTTTCCTGGCATGTAAAATATCAAAATCGTAAAAAAGCCAGAAAAACGTCAGATTTTTCGGACTACATTAATCCAAAATAAGTATGGTATATACATGTAGGTTAAGAAGCATGAACATGATAAAGAATGGGATATTTTTATGTCTTTATTTTAGATATAAGAGAATGGGCATCATTGGAGCTGTAATGGTGGTAAAAAGTATCGCATACAATCAGTAAGTTCTGATGACTTAGAAACAATGGTAGACATTTGACATATATGTATTTTATGTGACAACCTCCACAAATCTCTACAGTTAACAAATCTTGAACTTCATTTTCTGAAGATCATTTGTTAAAAGAGTCTGATTAGATTTCGTAAACTTAGATAGGTATTTTATGATATTTCCGGTAAGTATAATTTGGTAGAAAAAAGATTAAAGTGGGCCCCCATCTAAAGATTATCTACACTGGAATATCCCTTAAACATGAAGATTCTGTACTTTTGCATTAGAAATGGAGACAATGATCCTAGCCAGGTTCCTGCTGGTCCTATGACAGAGAGCCTGTACAAACAGGTGATAAACCTGTTACAACTGGTCAAAACCAGCAGCAGCCGGATGTCCGAGGCCGCCGCTCTCTTCATGGATGAGCTGGCTAATGTGGTGGGCAAAGGTCACCTTGACAGCAAAGTGGAGGTGGGTGAATGGATGCATTTGTCATCAGTTATGATATATTTCAAATATTTTTCATAGGCACAAAAAAAACCAAGCAAAGCTCATAAGCATTGAATGTACTCAATCCAATGAAAATTATACACTATCACTTCTGAAATATTTGGCAACATCCCATTCAATGTCATGACAGAGTGACCTTCCGTTTAGCCAATCAAAGGAGACAAGATAGGCTAAGACCCCTTTTTAGCTCACCTCAACGAAGTTGGGGGGAGCTTATGTGATACCCTCGGCGTCGGCGTCGGTGTCGGCGTCGGCGTCCCAGGTTAAGGTTAAGTTTTTTGGGGCAGTTTTCTTTTTAAGTACTTCTATGTCCTATATTGATTAGACATGCATGGAAGATGCTTCTAGTGTCTTTCATTGTACCAGTCCAAGATTCAGATGCTGCAGTTTAAACAAAGAAATGACCAGATTAATGTTTTTTGGAGCAGGTTAACATTTTTGGTGCAGTTTTTGGTGTAGGTTTCATTTCCAAGTAACTATAAGCCCTATGTTGACCAAACTTGCATGAATGATACATCTAAGGATGCATACTACCGGGCTTGCTTCGGATGCTGAATCTGACCTACATTTTCTGGCTGAGTGAACAGGTTAAAGTTTTTGGTGCATATTTCAATTCCAAGTAACTATAAGTCTTATGTTGACCAAACTTGCATGGATGATACATCTAAGGATGCATACTACCGGGCTTGCTTCGGATGCTGAATCTGACCTACATTTTCTGGTTGAGTGAACAGGTTAAAGATTTTGGTGCAGGTTTCATTTCCAACTATCTATAAGTCCTATGTTGACCAAAACATGCATGGATGATACATCTAAGGATGGATACTACCAGGCTTGCTTCGGATGCTGAATCTGACCTACATTTTCCGGTTGAGTGAACAGGTTAAAGTTTTTGGTGCAGATTTCAATTCCAAGTAATTATAAGTCCTATGTTTACCAAACTTGCATGGATGATACATCTAAGGATGCATACTACCAGGCTTGCTTCGGATGCTGAATCTGACCTACATTTTCTGGTTGAGTGAACAGGTAAAAGTTTTTGGTGCAGGTTTCATTTCCAAGTAACTATAAGCCCTATGTTGACCAAACTTGCATGGATGATACATCTAAGGATGCATACTACTGAGCTTGCTTCAGATGCTGAATCTGACCTACATTTTCTGGTTGAGTGAACAGGTTAAAGTTTTTGGTGCAGGTTTTATTTCCAAGTAACTATAAGCCCTATTTGACCAAACTTGCAAGGATGATACATCTTAGGATGCATACTACCGGGCTTGCTTCGGATGCTGAATCTGACCTACATTTTCCGGTTGATTGAACAGGTTGAATTTTTTTGTGCAGGTTTCATTTGCAAGTAACTTTAAGCCCTATGTTGACTAAACTTGCATGGATGATACATCTAAGGATGCACACTACCGGGCTTGCTTCGGATGCTGAATCTGACCTACATTTTCTGGTTGAGTGAACAGGTTAAAGTTTTTTGGTGCAGGTTTCATTTTCAAGTAACTATGAGTTCTTTAATGACCAATCTTGCATGGATGATACATCTAAGGATGCATACTACTAGGCTTGCTTCGGATGCTGAATCTGACCTCCTTTTTGTGGATAAGTGAAAATGTTAGTTTTTGATGCATGTTTCATTTCCAATTAACTTTGAGCCCTATAATGAGCAAACTTGCATGGACGATACCTCTTAGGATACACACTAATGGACTTGCTTCGGATGCTGAATTTGACATACATTTTTCAGATAATAGACCAGGTAAAAGTTATGGTTGCATGTCTATTTCCAAAAAACTATAAGGCTTATATAACATTGTATAAATCAAACTTGCACAAATGTTGCATCAAGAGATGAAAACTCTCAAATTTGATTCAGATGCTGGATTTTGATTACATTTTCATGAAGAAGAACTAGATTAAATTTTTTATGTAGGTCTATTTCAAAGTATCAGATCAAAATTGCTTAAATATTTTCATTTTTGGAATGTACAGTTTTTGTTGGTTAATTGTGTGACTTTGCCTTACTTAAAGACAACATTCGTTGAGGTGAGCTCTGTAATCTCTGATTACCTATGTTTTGCCCCTGGTTTGGGGTGTCTTTTAGAATGATGCAACAGTGTATCAATAAATCAATGAAACCCATTGTCACCCCCTGCCACAAAATGAGTTTTAGTTCTAAGTTATGGGTTACACAGAGGTCACAGGAAGATCAGAAAAAAAGTCAATTACTGAATTTTCTCATTTTATGCAAATTTTCACAATTTTCATGGCAAAATTTGTTTCAGAAAACATAGAGCACAAGCTGGTTTATGTACCAGTATTATATTTTTCAAACACTACTTTCAGATGCATCTTTAATATGTACAGTATAAAAATCTCCGATAGGCAAGCTTGTGCTCTATGTTTTCCAAAGTTAAAAATTTTGTAAAAATTAGAAATTAAAAAGTTTTACAAAATTGCACCAGAATTAAGAAAATTCGGGAAATGGTCCCACCTCCTCCCCCTCTTGTAGCCTCTGTTTAAGCTTTGAATTAAAATTAGCACTGGTTTTTAAACAAGCATCTTTTTAAGTTAATAACTACAAACTATCACAATTTTAACTGTGTTCAGAATTTTACAACAAATAGGGGGTCAGATTCAGCCTTTACAATACATTTTCCTTTCTGCTGCTGGAGTTTTGCACCAAATAAAACTATGCATTACAAAGGCTGTGCTGTGTATGAATGTGATGTGAGGAATATCTTGTTAAATGTTTAAAAAAAAAAAATTTATTTAGAACTATTGTTGTCTGGGCCTTTTCCTGGTACATTAAGGTTCAAAGCAAAATGTAGATCTTTTTTGTGCTAATTGTTTTAAATATACATTGTTTTTCAAATAATTGATTAAAAGTCTTTAAATTTTTGTTTTTCTGATTGCTGTCTTTGTCAGGAGTGGATCACGGAGAACGTGACGACGGATTTCCAGGATCACTATGTTGTAGACATAAAGGAAGCAGACTCAGAGAGGTACAAGTTTGTTTAGTTGTTAGAGAGGTACAAGTTTGTTTAGTTGTTAGAGAGGTACAAGTTTGTTAAATTGCCAGAGAGATACAAATTTGTTTAGTTTTCAGTGAGGTATAATTTTTGTTCAGTTGTCAGAGAACTCTGAAGGTGTTAGATGAAATCACATAAGTGATGTAGAAACTTGCACAAAGACGTAATACAGTGTATATTTGAATTTAAGCTAGTTTAAACTTCCTGTCTAAATGATGCTGCATTGTGTATAAATCTTTTTTTTTAAATAAACCTTGAGATTGATAAAAAAAAGTTGTAATTGCAATCCCACATACTCACTGTAAATAAGTTTGTGGTAATGAATGAAATTTACCATTTTTTTGTGTACGTTTTCAGTTTGATAGCCCAGGATGTGAGGTTTGGTTTGGATGATGACAGTGAAGTACCTATAGGCATCCCGCTGGTGGTTCTGACTGAGAAATCTGTCAAGGACAAGAAGAAAACACCGAACCAAAACACAGGGTATCTCCCACATAGAGGATCAGATTCATGAATGATATTTCAAACTTTGGAAATTTATATATAAAGACTCTTATGAAACCTCTGCCCCATGATAGGATACTTTTTGTTATTTAAAAAAATGTAAATTAATTATTATAATTTTAATTTTTTTGTAACACATCATTTGATTGGATAAAAGATTTATTTTATATCATGCAATATAAGTTGTCTACGTCACAACGAGTTATGTCAAAAAGTTATTACTCCGCTTGACATTATTCTCTAAATGTATGCTCAATTTGAAGCCATTTTTGGAGAAAAAATATCTTATTATATACACTGGGCCAAAATAAAATTATAGTTTGTTTGGAATTGCCGCCCGCCTCATTGAAATACCCCCCGCTCAAAAAATTTTATTGGCAAAATATTGGAAATATTTTTTTTACCGTCTTATGTCCGACATCGCTTTTTACAAGTTTGTTCGTTCTTCGAAGTAGGTTTTTAAAGTCGGGTTTGAGCTCACATAAATTTAACAACACCGGTCAATAAAACGCTTTCTTCATAGTATTTATGATATAAGGAATATAGATGGCGATTTGACAAAATGAAAGCAGCCAAAATGTCAGACCAAGTTGGATCAGTGGATGTGAAAACATTCAAGCGTTGAATACCAGAACATTTATGCATCTTCATAAAAATAAAAGGTGAATAAAAAATTAAATGGAATTATACACCGATACCTGGAAAGAGATTGCCCTTTGAACTTGATAGGATAAGTCCGTCATGTTGAAATTAAAAATGATCGTTCAGTTCCCAGTTAAAAAATTACATGGGTCAGAAATTTTTATTCCCAAATACATAAGGAAAAATGTTGTCTGTCAGTATGACAAGTCTTTGAAACCTAATGTTAAAACTGATTCATGGCGAACACTCTAGAACATACCAAGCACCCCCTCCCGTTTTTCCACAAAACATCCCAACTATTCTTAAGAAATTTTGTGTGGTTTGCACTCTTTGTAAGGGTTGTCTTAATGAAGGGCTAAATTTCAAAGAGAAATGCTATGAAATACACTAATGAAATTATTTTAAAAAGATTTGTAAAGAAATTGTTTTAAAAAGATTTTTAAAATAAAGAAAACAGTTTGACGCAAATCTAACATCGAAGAAAGATTGATACTTGAGTACCGTTCTGTGTATATTTAAGACAAAAATGATATTAATCAAATAAAAGAAAGACGGAAATTAACGAAAATCACCACTGTTCATTGCGATTTTTAATTTCTATTAATTAGCTTCAATTTGTAAAAAATAAAATAAATTCCCTCCCTCCCTCCTGGGTCTGAAAACCCCCAGGCGGCAATTCCAAACAAACATTTTTTTAAGGATGGCCCTGAAATTAAATTATAAGGAATGAAGCTTATTTTAACTATGTTATACGATATAACATAATTTCGGGCAGTTTAAGCTTTTATAAACCTCTTCGCTTTGTATAACATTGGTTAAAATAAACTTCATTCCTTAAATAAAATTATAAAGATGATCTTTTCTTATTCATCAAATATGTACAAAGATTAGTTGTTCTATAGAGAGAGCCCAGACCCTATGTGCTTGTCCCCACACTTCAGACTGCTGCGGATGTGTGAACAGAGACAGACTGGAAACCTGGAAAACATCGATGCCCTGCTGGGTAGGTACAAATCAGCTGTTCAGTATCAATATCAGGGCCTAATTGACACTTTTTGGTGCTAGGTCTTAGGTCAGATGAGAATTTTAAATGGAAAAAAGAAAAGGTCAAAACTTAAAATATCTATGGCCTTTTAAACTCTTGAATATGATGTACATTTATGTCCCCTTTTGAACATCAAAATCTAGCTGATTGATTTAGATAAACAGTTCCTAAGTTTCAATGCTTTGTACAAAATATTTCCTGCAGTTGAATCAAGTTTTACCCAAGTTTGATTTGTAGAGTTATGTCCCTTTTGATCTTTAAATTTGATGAAAGCAAGATGTTGAGTTTATGAATGTATATTTATGTTCCATCTACAATACTCTTCAAATTGAATTGATACTTAATTCATACCTACATATTCATGTTAAAATAACCTTTTTTGTTGGTTTAGTTAATACATGTACTTTACTTCTGAAAGTATGTAAAATCGATTAAGATTTATGTGAACATGTGAATCATTATTGGATGATATGCATAAAAATATGAACAATTTTAACAAATTATGCTATGACCAGGGAGTGTTTGAATGTTCATAATTCATCCTATGCTTGTATTTAACAATACAGGGGATCATTTATTTGACACATTTTGACAATTGTTGTTTGTGGGTTCATGCCTAATATCAGTACGGCG